CGGATTCTGGTTCATTTTGAAATTTCACAGGGGACCTTATTTGAAATTTCAAATACATTTCAAGTAATTGTCTACGACTACGAGCATTCCTTCCTTTTCTGCTAAGTCTGTTGCGCTAGTAAAAAAAAATAAGGGAAAAATAATCGATTAGACGATATATGACACTCCACCTTACGGCCGATCGATGATAAGTGCAAATGTTTGGAGTGATTCGATGTTTTTTTAAGCTTTTAGCCATGAATCATCTACAAAGTTCAATCGCATTTACGGGTAGTTTTTTGCTGCCGTTTCATTCTTATATACAAATTATACTGATTTGAAAAGCTTTAAAGTGAAGGACAATGACATACATGTATTGTGAAGCCATAATCTCATTTGCCTCGAATTAAGTAATCATAACATGATTCCCCCAGTCAGGAGAATACTAAAAGTAACTCATGTCGTGAAGGTCAAATTATTCATTTTCACGGATTGGAAAATTAGGTCATGCGTATGAAATGATTTCTCAGAAATACAGGAACTTTATAAAGATGCAATTAGCTATAGTGCACTTAATTTTCACATTTCTCAACCAATTTCTGGAAACCCCCATCAGCATTTGAGAATGGATTGGTGCTACAGGGAAAAACTGCTTGATGGTAACTGTTTGGGGGAAAAGTTTGACTAATATATTAACGCCCCCCTCTCTCCCTGAGAACTTTGTTCACCCATTTCTTATGTTAATTATGTGCTCGTATTGACCACTACTTGAAAGAAGAGCTTTTGAGTTCCTCTTTGTGTAAAAGAGAATGATATTCTCGGTCGGCTCTTTAGAGAGTAGAGCGACATTCCCGGTGATGATGAAGTAAAAGTCTAGATCATTACTGTATTTAATCGATTACCCTCCATCAACCAAATACTTACATGCATACAAGGCGCAAGCCATTTACCCAACCAAAATGAGATAGTGAATGATATATTTATGTTTTACTGTGGTCATTTCCTTGTTATCGTTTTAAAAACATGACGATTATTTTTTAATCGCTATTTACGGCTGATAAGCAGTGCGCTGGAGACGCAATAGATTAGTAATAAACGCTGGGGCGCTTAAAAAAATAAATGCGTTATCCTTTCCAAACTCATTCCAATTATTAAGTCGCGGGTTATCACACAATTAATCATGCTTATATTAGATGCAGGCCTGTACTAGATATGTAGTGGAACCCTGCTAACTCGAACTCGGATAACTCAAAGTCCCTGCTAACTCGAACAATTTCCTATTTCCCTTGGATTTGACCCTACTTTTTCAGTCATTTTCTAATCGGGTGGTTAACTCGCGGATTACTCAAACTAATTTTACTTTCCCTCGGCTCAAATATACCGTAAAATTCCGAAACTGAAGCCCCTCCATATATAAGCCCCCCAAATCGGTAACGCCAAAAAAACCTCCGTTAAATCGCCCCTCCAAATATAAGCTCCCCGGGAGCTTGTACTTGGAAAATTGCCCTCAAATACAAAGTAAAACAAAGCAACAACGGTAAATGTACTTCCAACTATAAGGCTAGCCCAATCGATTTTGAAACGTAAATTTCCCTCCGTAGATAAGCCCTCCGAATAAAAGCCCCTCCAAAAATAAGCCATTCAAAAAGAATCTTTGAAAAATATAAGCCCCGGGGCTTATTTTCGGAATTTTACGGTACCCTGATAACTTGAACTTGATAATTACCCCCATCATTATTGTCAATCAGCTATGTCAGAAGGTAGCTGATTGACACGTCCCAACTCGGCTTTAATCGCGATTGATACGAACGTGATATAACATTTGTGAAACTTGATACATTTAGCGAAACTTTCGAAACTAAACACTGTTATCAGAAAAACGAACCAAGTGTACGAAAATGATTGTTAATTGTGCAAGAATGGTAAAACATGATTCCTTATCAATTATTAACAGGATAATTGACATTCAGCACCAGCCCCTTGATAGTTCGATTTAGGGAGGTTCTACTATAATTTAGGCTCGATTACCAGCCGCTGTTCGGGAAAATGAGCCCGCACTCATCCATCATAGACCGGACCCGGGAGACGGCGGAAATCGAGTTTAACTATAATTCTGTCCGATATTTTAACACAAGACAGTGGACTCCTGCAAATAGTCCTGGTAGGTTATGTGGGAGTGTTAGGACGGTAAGCCTGGAAAAAGAGCTTTTAGGCACAAGTGCATTAGCCTGAGTATCAGGCCTTCCTAAGGGGCTACGGGAGAGGAGTCCCCTTTTCCCCAGAAACGCCTGATACTCAGGCTACAAGTGCATCGAAAACAGCTGGTTGAAGGGAATAGAGCTTCCAGAAAGACTGGTCAAATGTTAGAAAATTCAGTCATGCATGTAAAATTATTTCTAAGAAAAACAGGAAACTTAAGATCTCGTCTTATTTTCGCTTTGCTCGTTTTAATACGTCCGTACTATACTATCTGAGAGCCTGGCACAGGCTAAGTCAAATACCGTAATACGAAGAGAAATTGTCTTAGCTTCAATCATGATCATTCATGTACACATATATGTGACCTACTTTCGAGTTATACTGACAATTTATGATTTCGTCTAGCTGTTTATTGGCATTCATGCATTGCTTACGATGTAATCACGAAGAATTTTGTCCTTGATCAAGTACTGTTCTCTTATGTACCAGATACTTTTCATAATTCTTGTCACTTCCCGCTTTAGAACTTAAGGTGGCTCTACTGGATTTTTTGGGGGGGATACCGCCCACGTTTGAGCATTAACTACGTCGGCATGGGTAAAGATATGTGAAAAAGATTACCACAACTGTATTATATAATGACGAAAATTTCTTATGATCTGGGTTTTATTGCAATCGGAGTCGCCATGGCAACGTAATGACACCATTACGCTTTTTATTTATCTTTGTGTTTCTCTGTACCAGGAGTTTTTTGAAGAAATCGCTTAAGGGAGCATATACCTGCCATAATTGCCTCCATTATGGCAAAGTTTCAACAAATTCTATGAGAGCGTTTTCGAAATATTTGACACGCAGTCTTAACAATCATAAAAACTGTGAAATAGCATGCTATCCACACAATTCGCTAATATTTTAAGAAACTGATAAGCTTTGGAAACGCGGCTTCATCCCATAGTGGTTTGATTCCATTGAAAACTGCATACAAAAAAAGAGGGGAATCGCTCTGAGCGATCGCGATTAAGAAGAATTTTATTGACTTGCACTCAGCTGCTTTTGTTACAGTTTTTGGACGCAATTTGGTCCATGCCTACAAATTTCGCATTTTTCAAAAAACCGCTCGATAAATTTTTTTATAAATTCGACAATCTGTAGATCAATTGTCAATAAATATTCCCTGCAAGTTTCAAGAACATTGAAAACAGGGAAGGCTTTTAAATAGGGCCTCAAATATAACCAATTTTTTCCCCCGATTTTGTGTTTACAAGTGAGCGTCCTCTTTATTCACTGGCATTGTTTTCAAATTTCATATGCACGTGCACAACTAGCAAAAGATATAAATTTGCATCAAAAAGAAGTCTCGATTACTTTCCGAAGAAGTATACGGAATATGCTAATTGACCCTAATTGGCTTGTGTCACCGATAGCAGTGAGAGCCGAAACGATGAACGTCACCAGTCATCGAGTAGGATGCAATACTTAATTAACTTACTCGGGTTACAGAAACTCTTACAAAGAATTGCTCTGATGTTATAATGTATGTTATAATTCGAAATTTTGTTTTGCTAGCAGTGAAAAAAAAAAGCCATTTAAGCGCGCACGTGATGGCGCGTACTGTCCAATTACTTAGGCATGACGCGTACTGTCCTATTAAACTGTCCAATTAAGGCTGAAATCAGGGCAGTTGATAGCCAATCAGATTTGACAATTTTGTTATAGTTATGATTAAACTGATAATTGGGACAACAACTATTTTAAAATCGTAACAATAGCAATCGATGTTTTAATCGCGTCTGTATAAAACAAATAAGCTATTTTACTGCGTGTTTGCTGAGTTTAGATCGCTGTTGCCGTCAAAATATTGTAAGGACGTCATCATTCATTTCCACAAACATTACCACTTTGACGCGAGCTGCGGTGTACAACTTAGCAATGCGAAATGGAATCTTCTCATTAAATCAACAGTTTCAAAACGAAAATTTTCACTTAATTACTTACCAGTGGCTTCAGGAGCAGATGGTCCATCCCAAACAGTGTTTCTTTCTCCCTCAGTCGCTTCTTGTACATCGCTATCTAGTTCTGCAGCAGTACGTGACGCGAGGTAATTGGCAAGCCATGAAGATCTGCTCTCTCAAGAACGGATCAGCGGAGGGCTCGGTGTTAGGGGGTACTGTAGTTATCACAACTGGGAAGATTATGTCGGTGTTGAAAGCCTTCTTCACGCGCACTTTAGACTAGACAGAAGTACAAATCAAAAAATCTTAAATTGATGTCAGAGAACCGTATAAATGTATCAGGCGTACCTGAGTAGGATAGTTACATTCAAAGGGAAGGGATCGAGTGCATTTTGAAGCGAGAAGTCAACTCCAGGGCGGGTTTAGAACATGAGTTTTTTTTCTTTTTAATATTTCATTTTATTGAATTATTAACAGCAAATTTGTATTTAGGATCTTAAATACTAGTGAGTAAAATTCATGATTTCTTAAACATTGCAATGCGCAGATGAAAATATCCCATTGATATCTGCGCAATATAAGTTAATAAATTATTATTGATGGATTGTTTTTTCTTTACAGCATTGAGCGGCGGAGCTAAGAGGGGCTTGAGACGAAAACAGAGGGAGAAACTGTCTACCCTTCCAACTTTCCCGCGGCTCTGCTACTCAAAGTTTCAAAGCACACACAAAAATGCTAGGGGCAAAGGTTACTGGTGGCTGTGCCGACTCATCGAAAAAAGAAAATTCGACGCGCAAAGGAAAAATTTCTGCAATATTCTGGCTATGAACTATACCCTCACATCTTTATCTTGTGAACTATGCGCTTACCTTAATTTGCGTACGGAATGTCAATGCATCCGAATCCCTTCGTCGTTGGTTGACACACAGGTGGTATGACGAAAGAATCAAACTCGTCATTGGTTTGATCTCCAGGTGCTAGTTCTTGTTCTTTCTTGAGGACGTAAAGCTTCTCTGTTACTGTACGTGTCGTAGCTAGGCAAAACGGCAAACAAAAGAATGAAGCTACCACACAAATGTCAAACCACCATAGTAATTTTGCAGAGAAATCAACAAACTTTCTACGAGGGTTTACGAACTTAAGACAATTTTTGTTTCCTTAGAGTAACTAGTTGAAGGTACATTTTGAGTTTGTCTGTCCAATAGAGAAACTTCACTCCCAGTATTGATCAGGATGTAATTTCTCCTTATAATACCTTACACTTTCAAGCAGACAAGTGATGAGAAGTTGAAAAAATAATTAATTTGACACTAAATTCTCAGAACTGAACTTGAAGACCAAGAGAAAATAATGGGGCCTTATTTTCTCAAGATGAGATATATGGCTGACAGTGTGGAGAATCAGCAATGAGATGTTGGGAGTTAAACGATTTTGAAAATATTTTCACAAGCGTGATACAAAGCACGGCATAGACCCGGTGAGTCCAGATAAGGGAGTGGAAACATTTCTTCCCACCCCACTTTATTTTTTTTTAAAGTTGTATTCCTTAACCCTTAATATCTGGGGATCCTAACCTCACTGAGCACTTCTCCATACTCTTCTCTATTTATTCCCTGTCGTACCGACGAAGAGAATTTGTTGAACAATCGAGAGCTCCTTTCGGGGCGATAATTTCCTTTATTCCCGTGACCTTGATTATTGATTTAGCAGCGATACTGTGAGGAGAAATTAGATCCTTGTCATTTCTAGTGGTTAAAGGGTTAATCCTTACCTTCAGGTGTTTTGTATAGCACTCTCTGTACAAGTTGCGCTTCAAAACCGATAACTTTTTTGCTGCTCTCGTTATTTACTAGTCCAGATATCTTGAAGTCCTGACCAGGGCAATAAGCTACACCTCCTATGCGGGCTTTGGTGTGCAGCTGGTCTGAAGGGCAACATGGCCAACCCAACATACGATCTTTTTGTTTCAATCTTAGTTCCTGACGATCGACAACGAATGATCAGAGAGTAAGTGAGCAATCGGCTACATGATTGCAGATGGGCTTGCAATTGGTGATTTTCTTCTCTCTTTGAGAAATCACTTTTGATTTTAAACATTCCTACTTAAAAAAGCAACCAGCATACGCCATACACCTTTGCGGTTTTTGCACACCTCTTTTGGACCAGGATAAAGGCGAATGTTACCAAAACATCAGCCGACAAAGAATGAGCCAGCAGTGTTTACTTCTTCAGCCCCCTTTTCTGTTTGAAAATGGGGGAGAACTTATTGTATAGTTATACATCGTGTTCAGGACTATAAAAATTTTAAGGGATTGTAATTTTTTCGGGATTCTCTTTAATGTGAAAAGATAAGTTGTGGTAGTTCCCACTCGAGCCATATTTAGAAGAGTTCTTACTTGGGCACGGAATAAATTTCGAGTCAGTACTTACGAGGAATTGTGGTTTCCTAATCTGTACGCGCTCAACAATTACCAGGGGTGTGCGGGTATTGAGATCAATTCTCCACGGTCGGTCCACCACGGCATCTAACCAATATCGTACACTGCCGTAGGCACCTTCAAACGATGTTGGTAATGGGGATACCGGAAGCGGGAATTGAAAAGGGAAATTGTAGTTTCCGGGGTGAAGCTTGACGTCACTTCCGGATTGAAAAGGTGCTAAAAAATCAATAAAAATTAATAAGACGTCACCTTGTAGTGACATGAATAAGATTAATTAAAGGTAATATTAATAAGTTTGGTTCATTTTAGGGTATGTAAAACTTTGCCGATAGGTTGGTGTAGGAAGTGTAACACGCTTTTATTGGTTTAATTGATCGCCAACAACTTTTTGAGACTCAGAAAAGGGAGGGGTCATGAAAAATGGGTCGTTAAAAGGGGGAGGTCATGCAAATATATGCCCTTGATCATGTAGAGGCTCACCCACAGAGGAAAAAGGAAGTTCTTTATTTGGTAAAAAAAAAAAGAGAAAAAAGAACAACGAAACATTATGGATAGAAACTGTGAAGTACTATTGCAAGAATTTAACAAACATCCACTTTTCATTTATAACAATGCTATAGAGTCTTATTGAAATTATGAATAATGTTGTTATTAATGTTATTAGAGTTTTGGCTATCCTTTTCATCACTGTCTTCGCCATCACCATCAATGCTCGCGGCTGTGAGCATCTTGATCATCTTTATTTATGTCATCAGCTTTGATACAATCATTTTCATCATCATCATGATTTCCATTTAAGTTAAAGCGTAGATATTGCTTGATAATGTCCTGTGATTCATTGGTGAACAATCCCTTCTCAAAGGCATATTGGATATATGGCCTTTGTGTTTTGAGGAGCCCACTTATTCCTTCATAATGAAGAGATAATGGGCCAATAGGCTCTGTAACATCATGCGACTCTTGATGAGATGCAATGGTTTCAATAACTCTTTTGCAGTCAGCTTCCATTCTTTTTGCCCTAGCTTTCTTTGCTTTCCTTTTATTATTTTTTTTTGTTTCCTTTTTTTCTTGTTGGCTTGGAATACTGCACCTTAAGGAGCCTGGAACATTTTTCTTTCAATTCTGTAAGGTGGGGAGGGTCATGATATTTTAGGCCAAGCTCAAGGGGAGGGCTAGCAAATTTCACTCCCATTGCAGGGATGGGTCACCTCATTTCCGAACCCAAATTTAAAATTCCCACCCCCCTTCCCCCCGTGCTAATTTCTGACAAGTCCCTAATGTAGCCCGAGAGGGGTACATTGCTTAATGTATCACGATCGCGATACATTTGATTTTAGTCCAGGCCATGTGACCAAGAAGTTAACCAATGGCAGTCCCTGTTTAGTTGAGTGAAAGTCTAGGAATATAACAAGACGAACTGAACTACGTAATAGCAGTGGAGATAGCCTGCGTAGCAGGCGTCGAAAGGGGTAGGGATAGGGAAAAATGGAGGGGGTAGGGGAGAGAGGGGAAGGGACGCCTGCTATAAGAACCCCCTTTTATTCATTTCTGCGGATGCTGGTTCCGCAAATTCCTGATTGGCTGAGCCGTAATGAGTAATTTATTGGCGTGTATCCTGGCGTGTATTAGTGTGAGAGACAAACATAACGAAGGCATCAAGAAAATGTGTTCTACCACAGGCGGCCCAAGCTCATTACATGAACGCGGACGTGACTCTTGCTTGCGGGCGGTGTTGTGTTACAAACGGTTATTTACAAAGGATTCTATGGGATGTAAACGGTTTTTTTTAAAAGAGTTAAAAAATGTAATTTTTTTTAAATAACATCGACTTACCTTATTGCTTTGTTGTATTCTTTGTTGTTTGCTCGCGTCTCAGGCCGTTTTGAAGCGTTTTCGGCGAGTTAGCGCTATTTTGGTGTTCCACTGCACCAGTGCCTTGTCCTTCTTTTAGCACCCGTTTTATGGGTGTTTATGTAAACGGTTTTCTCTCTATACCTTTATATAGAGAGAAAACCGTAAGAACAGTTTTAAACAATAAAAATTAAGAAAATGGACCTAGAAAATTTTTTGCTCGAGAATGTCCAACTAGCTGTTTTCATGTCATTCTATAATCCTATAATTTTTTAACATTGTACATATACACATAACTCTATATTTTTGTGACTAATAGTATGTATATATTAGTTTTTTTTTGTTAGGGTGTCCCCAATTAGCAACACCATGCTAAAGTAACACGACACTTGAATAAAGTTTGTTATTATTATTATTATTATTATTATTATTATTATTATTATTATTATTATTATTATTATTATTATTATTATTAAACGCGATCATTCGTTTTAACGAGCTATCTAATTTTTTAGCGCAAAATCTCAACGATTCACCACTATGTTTTACCCGGGTTACGTTCAATGTATGATCAAAAGAAATAATGTAATTTTTGCTTATCGCACAAGCACACTTCTTGAAAATGTACGGAGTAAAATATTCCTCGAGTGCGAGACAGGCTAGAGGATATTATTTCGTCTGCACAAGTGATGCCTACTTGTTCTGTTTTCTCAATAATTTTTACTTTTTTTCAGACACAATTTCTTTTATGAGCTCTACAGCACAAATATAAAGGCTAGAAGAGTACATTTATCCGAGAAACGGATAGGTCACCTTGCTTGCTGAGTAGATAACAACCGTTTCTTGGGTCTTTGACAGCAAGTCACCTTGTTGCGTAATATTTGAGTGCGCGCTGTTATGCGCAGAACAGGATGCGCAGTGCAGCTTTTGTTTTTGGTGGCTAAAAAGGAAAAGAATTTCCCGAACACCTTGGTGAATCACTCAAGCCATACCAAATAATGTCAACAAACTCAGCGATATTTACACAAGATCCTACTTATTAATTAGCCGGCTCTTGCAAGAAAATAAGAGGACTAACTTAAATGCAATGTCAGTAGAGTTTACATTGTTTAGTTGTTATTGTCTCTATATCGATTTAGGATATGCTGTATCTATATAATTTCCTCTAAACCCTGTCCAAACGTCCATCAGAAAATGTAAATCTTGAAGATATCTTCATCGAAAATGGACATTTTTGAGAACGCTATACAGAATGAAAACGTCGTTTTCCTCAACTCGTGAATCGGAAAAAACGAAAATTGTCCAAAACGTTATAAACGTGCCTGCTCCTGACACAGACTTTAACCGGCGTAGTATTTCATCGAAACATAGTTAGTTAATATTGCTGACTACGTGAGGGAAACACTATACTTTGTCAGGTTGCCTGTCAAAGTTTTCCTGGAAAATCTTACAATCAATAGAATTTTATTCACGTAGTCAGCAACAGCGACACTAAAGAGACACGTTTCCCACCGTGTTTTTCAATGAAATATTTTGCGGTTTAATCAGGGGCACCCAACGACAATTTTCGGAAGAATATCTGTTCGGAAGACGATTTGAGATCTAGACTTTTCGGAACATTTGTTGTAAAATTTCTTGCTTGCCTGCCTCTCCTAGGATTTATGAACATCTAAAAAATGGTATAATTGCCTATTTTTAACGGAGTTTTACCCTAAAAAGGTCACCTAGAATTTTCGGGAGCCTTTTTTCTGACTGAAATTTTCGAAAAGGTAAGTTTTGATCCCTATAATTTTTGGATCACTAGACTTTCAGCTAGGAAATCCGAACAGATGAAAATTTTTAGGGGATAAAAATATGCCTATATCTACCGTTTAAATACTAAAATACATTTAACAATGCTATGTTTAAGTGGTTTTGAACTATATTCTCGTTGGGTGCCCTTATTTAATGTCCGTGTCACGAGCCTGCACGTGAATTTCCTCTGTTTTTTGGCGCTTTGGGACATTTTCGATTTCGTCCGCTTCAAGATCAGAGTTCAGGAAAACGGCGTTTCCACTCTGGATAGCGTTTACCGAAATATAAAGTAATAACAGCACATCAGTACATGCAGCATATTCAAAATAAAGAGATAGTAACAATCAACATGTATTTACAGATTAGAGTACATATGAGTCAAGGATAAGTTAAGGACCAATAAGACATCTTCTAACTTTGACTGCAAGACAATTGGTTTTTTTCTCAAAATCAGCAAAGATAGTGATATAGCGTGGCATAGAAGTCTTACGCGCGCGAAGCGGGCAGGCCTCACACGCCCTACGGGTGTGTGAGGCGAGAGTGAAAACTCCGTCTTTCCCCAGTCTCGTTTTCCGTTGTCAGCCTCGTTCCAGACCTTTTGTTTGACTGCTTGCAAGTATTTGAATACGCAAAATACGGACAGTTTTGCAGTCTCCTTCTAACTATTTACGATTTAAGCTATACTATCTGTGCTCAGTATGAAGTTTGCCTCTTCTCAATCGAAGAATATTTTTGTAAAAGATACCCTATGAATAAAGGAGAAAACGGTATATCGGGACTTTGGAATTGAAAAAAAAAATCTTTCTTAAGTCTATATATCGGCGATATGCAGAAAAAGAAGTACGCCTCCTTTGTTTTAACGATCAGTCAGATTAAATTTTAACATTAGATATAATACTCTTTCCCTTAATCAGCAGATGCAAAATTAAAAATAAATTCTGAAAAGATTTCCTTTCCAGAGGGGGACATGCATGGGGGTTTACGGTATTGAGCTTTTTTTCAAGCGGTATTTTCGATTTTAATGTGCGGTATTGCGGTATCATCTATCCCTACGGTATGCGGTTTTTCTCCCACTTGGTTAACGGTATTCGGTAAAGAAGATCCTTCACAGTACTGCGGTACCATTTATTTGCGCTCTCCTGTCTAATACAGGTCAATAAAATGTGCTGCACGAACCACAGTAAGCTAAACAAGTTAATTAAAGTTAATATTCCTAAGACTTTAGATTTGAGGGTAAATGATTACACAATCTATGACGAAATTGGAAGGGAATCCAATGGCCGGGATTTTCGATCGTAGTACCGATCAAGAGGCGCGATCCATTCAACCAAAATTCCGACCGGTCCGACCGGGAAAAGTGGTCCACCTCAAAAGGTGGACCAGTTTTTTCGAAACTTTTCCGGTTGGACCGAACCGATCCATTGAGTTTTAGACCAAACTTTCCGGAAATTTTGGTTGAATGGATCTCGCCCAAGGTCTTCTCACGTTTTCTCGCAATGCCTGAGGTTGTTCTGGTGCATACATGGTTGAGGTAAACAAACACGCGAGATGGATACAGCTTTAAGTAAACGTGACCGATCATAACTGTGGTATCGGTATTTAGTCGATTTTTGACACATTATTTCGGTATTTGCCAATATTTCTTACGATATTGCGGTATTGGATACCCTCCAACGTCCCCCTTTTTCCAGAAATATCTAAGCCTGCTTCAGCAGTAGAAACATTCCACAGCGCTGAAACCAAGTTCATCTTCCCTTATTTGTTGTGATATCTTCTGGACACATCACTCCTCAGATGATATAAAAGGAGCAGTTGTTTTCACTGTTTTATACAATTCCATTTTGGGATATCAGTGCGGACCACAGAGCTAGAGAGAGACCCTCAGTCCAGAAAAAACTTTACCGAGATGGTAAGAGAATTTTCACGTGAATTTGCCCATTTAAACGGCTTCATTACGAAGAAGATCCTGTCTCGTATGGTTTTTGAAAAATGATATCTGTTATTTTGGCTCTCATAAGCTTCCTATGTAGCAACAACTAGTAGCAGCAAATGACATTTCTTTTTAATGCCAGGGCTTTCACGCCATGAAGGTAACCTAGGGAATTGGGATTTAGGCTTTGCGCACACTGTGCAATACGGTAACACTTTCTTTAATTTCGTTACTTCAAATTCTATCAATTAACACTATCCCTTATCGTCTACACTTCAGTGAGGTCAGGTTAGAATTCTAATTTTTCTATCTTGTAAGGTTTTAAAATCAATAGCGACTGGTCTATACAGGGATAAAGGAAAGCATACATGTTCTTAGCCGGCGCTCGTTAGTAAAATTGATAAAGAAACTTGTTAATGTCAAAGGAGGAATTCAAACACAAACTTGCACAGAAAGACCAAGAACGAAAACACGAAAGAAACTTACGGTTATAATTCAACTGTACTAAATCGCTTTAATTTTTTCACCAGAAAATGTTGTTCTTATCTTGTCTTGCTCTGCTGGCTGTCATCGTTCAGTCCACCTCCTTTCTCGTGTAGAAAAAGGTAAGACTAGTATGAGAAATCGTTAGCAAGCATAAAATGACTGGGGGGCTGAGCGTGTGGCCCACATTAACTCCCCCCCCCCCCTGCTCCTGTCCCTCGGTTAAAGTATCCTTCTTGGTACATGTCGCATAGCTATACATTTGTCTACAATGACTTTTGTTCTTGTCTCTAATTTTTCGTTAGTGCTGACTTTGAGGAAATAGAGAACTTGTTTGGGATATCGTTCGCAGAAAATTTGACAAACATTTGCTTTCGGTTTTCTTTCTCCCCAACGAAGTCATTAGCTACGTCTACAAGGGTCAGAGCATCTGTTCTGTCCTTGTGAACATGCAACATCATGAGGTGGTTCAGTCTAGAGTCTCCCGTTGTTGAGCGCAAATACGTCTTCACCCGCTTTAAAGTTGAAAACGATCTTTCACTATCGGCATTGGTTGCTGGCATGACGAGTAACAGCTTTCCCAGAGTAGAAATTTCGCTTAATAGTTTTCTGCGGAAGCTATCAAGGGACTGCAAGAAGGTTACCAAATCATTTCGTTCATTTACACAATTCCAAATTGCACAGAAGAACAACAGTACATAATCTTACTATGATCGACAATTCTTTGAAACTTTAGCTTCCACTGGCAGCTGTCGATTTTAGTAGAAAAATTCCACTTTTGTAGCAGAATTTAATTCAAGTCTGAAAATTTCTTGGGGGGCTCGAGCCCCCCCTGCCCCTGCCCCTGCTATGGGCCTGCGCTTTGACACTTTTGTAATGTAAGCTATTATAAGCGGGTTGAAATCTTCATCTTCCGTTTTGAAATATCAATTAGTCAATCATTTTAACAATAAATGTATAAAGAGCTTCGTTACTGACCCGTTTTCAGATTTTTCCTTTTCTTGGTGTTGATTTTAATTGCCCCAACTATTACAACCAGCCGCCGGATTTGCAGGTTGAAGTTTAACTGCACTAAATACCGCCCTTTCAACTAAATAATGTTTCATTTTTTCGTGACAATGTATAAAATTTTTGTAACTTACTCACCCCTTTTTATAGGACTCCGTGATAAAATACTCACTGAAGTTGTCGAGCGGCACCGGGGAAGAATATGACGAAAAAATCGAAATTGACGCTGAAAAGGAAACAGAAACGTTTCACGTACCAAAGACTTCGCCTGATGAAGAAGCAGGAGATATAGTCTACGACTTTAAAAAGGTAATAGAGTTTTATTTTCACTCTTGGAGGAAAGCGCCGTGCATATAAGCGATAGGGATTAGCGTCCTTGGGAGTTTGTAACCTGTTTCGGATAATTATGAATTATGAACCGAAAGTACATGATTCAAAGTGGTCTTAAAATTCAGCCTTGCAATATAATTGCCTTTGACGTTCGTGCCTTCTCCGTTTTTTTTTTTCAGATTTCAAGATTTCTTCGGGTTTTTTTTTAAGACTTTCATACTTAAGATTAAAAAACAAACAAACGAACACCAAAAATACACAAACAAGCGAACAAAAAATACAAAGCAAAACCAAACTAAAACAAGCCAAAACGCAAACGATTTGTAAAAGAAGAAGACTGAGAGTTAGCAGCCCCATTGAAGCGACGTTTCTAATCATTTTCAAATAAATGCTATCTGAATAGGTTAATTAATACATAAAAGCCCAGCAGATTTACTTAATGACCCTTCCATAGGGGTCGGGCTAAAGTTCTCCGTAATATATATTGTTTAAACAAAACTTTGAACTAGTTTATTGAACACGATAAGTCATGCATCTTAAATTAAATCTCAACAGATCAGTAAAGTTTACTAAAGCGCCAATATAAATCAGTATTTAAAACCTTTGAACAGTATGAACCCTTGCCGAAACTATTCGCCAAAATTATTTCTTTATTTCTTTTTTGATCAATAAACGATATGGCACTTTAACGTGAAAACGTCACTTTGGAAGCATAATTTCTTTAAAAAATGTTTTTGTCGAGACTGTGATTTCCACGCACAGCCAACGCTAACCGCCTCAGAGGCTTGGAATTAGTCCATTGACTCAACAAAACGGCCAAAATACTCCATTCACTAAAATGATGTGAAAGTTCGCGTGACAGTGAGAATGTGACCTCCAAGGGGTGCTGGTTGTCGATATAGATTTAATCATTATACTTAATTCCATTTTTCCAACAGAAAATGACAATGATACGCTTGCCAGCAGCAAAGGCTTGCTATTTGACCCATTCAACTGATGACGCTCTCAAGCCCGCCGACTTAATGAAAGCTTTAGCATTGGTAAGTGCCAAATACAATTAAATCACCTTTGTGATTCAAGCCAATTGGATCATCAGGAAGTTTACGAGATAAAATGCTAGCTCACAAAAACCATTAGTTTTCCACCGCGGCTGCCCTGGTGTCTGGATTCCTATCGCTTTAATGCTGGTCTTTCTTTTATGGATAGGTACCTCCTAAAACAGATGGAGGGTTGCCAAAGGCTCGAACTGACATAAAACTAAAAGTTGTAGGAACTCTTGAGGACCGATCAGAGCTAAGTGATGAAATGGCACGTTTGTGTGCCAAGCTGCCAGTCTACGCAGTGGTGAAAGGAGACGTAAATCCCATTGACTTTAGCGAAACAAGACAAACAACTGACCCGAAAAATGTTCTGAAAGCACGTAAGTGATAATGAATAAGAAGTTCTGGCCTCTGCTACGACTCAGTTTACAGTGTTTGCTCAGTCAAATAAGAACAAGGTGCATGCCCGTATAAAATGCTTTCTTAGTCGGCTTTACGATAGTCTGTAAAACTTAAATCATTTCGAATCCATTTTAATTTGAGAGGCTTTAAAACTGACTCAGCCACATGCAGTCAGAGCCCTGATCTTTGGCCCTAATTATGTTAGTTGTTAACGGTAAGGGATGTAATACCTACCCGAAGTGTGCTGTGCCTTTTTTTCTTTCCTTAGGTAAGAAACGACAGCCCGCGAGACGTGTTTGTAAAAAGGTGTGTCAGTGGATCTTGAAAATGGTGTGCAGAATTGTTTGCTGGTATGTTACTGACTGAGTAAACTCTACTGAGTTTACTATTTTTGCCTTCAGCCAAGTGATAATCAATTCAGAAATTGTTATTGATCACTCAATGTAATATTTATTTTATCTTATTAGGCTCGTCAATAATTGGCTGGGTCACGGCAACACCATGACAACGGTAATTACTCCGGGCCAGTAACAGTCCCTCCCCCCATGAGAGATAGGATTGTAGAGAAAGTCAATAATGTTAAAATAATATACTTAGTAAGCTTGCATACCTGGATATCTACTTGGTGTGTTCCTTTTTTTTTCTTTTGTAAATTATTACTATTATTATTATTATTATTAATTTTTAGTTTTAGTTTTTTATTATTGTTTTCATAAGCAGTGATGATGCACTTCTTAAAAAGGCCAGATAGAGCTATGTGAAAACTAAGAATATAGATGATTTATAGATGGAGGAACATGTAGTGCACGATTTGTAAGCCAATTAAGTAAAATTTCATATGAATGAACTAAAGTAAATTACAGAGGAAATAAACACACTTAGTTGAGAGTAGAATACGGTGTCTGTCATTTCAATCTTTAGTGGTTATGCACCCCTTTCATAAATGGCGGGTCTAATAGTTCTTCTTTTAGATGTATGTAAATGAGCCTTGCTAGCCTCGTCAACAAGTGTAATACTAACAGAATTTTCACTCAAAAACGAGGCTTGGAAGATTTTTTTGCATTTACACAAAAGAATAATAATTGTGCCCGCCATTTGTGAGGGGTCTATGAGTCTGAGCCGTGGCGATGAAAGAATCTATGGAGTAAGACGTTCCGTTTTTTTCCCAGTACTGGAGAAAGAACTTTCTGGAAAATGCAGAGTCTGAAATTTCTATGGCAAGTAAGATTTTCTCGCTATCCGCCTTTCGGTTTTATTCTGACGTACGCGTTTTGTTTCCTTTTCTATCATCGTTTCCATTTCAGTTCACGTAAACGTTCCCTTTACGTTTCCTTATGCATGTATTCCCGCTTGCGTCTCTACTTCAGTTCACGTATGCATTCCGTTTGCGTTTAACTTCCATTTTGTGTTCCCTACCTGCGTTTCCATTTTAGGTCACGTACACGTTCCCTCTGAGTTTGAGTTACGTTGTGTCGTCTATATGCGTTCCCATATACGTTCCATTTGCGTTCCGTTTCGGTGTTTCCCTTTTGTGTTCCATTTTTCCGTTCTTTTTCTTTATTCGTTACACAGTGTGCACTATCAATCCGTTCCGATTCACGTTATCGCTGTTCGCGTGTTTTTTCTTTCTGCGCTTTTCTTTTTTTTACCATTTTTAAAATAGTCCTTTTAAAGGCGCATTTGATTTTACCCTTTTCACGCAATTCGATGCAATTTCTGTCGCGCTGAAGTTGCATCTCCAAAAAAAAACGACGGTTGAAGATATTTTAAAATGTTATCAAAGTCACTCGAATCAGGGGCTCAAATAAATTAAGAAGAGTTCGATACTGTAATGGGGACGTGTTGGAAATTTCTCTACTGGTTAATCTTAGCTTTTGACTCGAAATTTGAAGTGTCTTTTATGTATAGTGAATCCAAAAATGGTTAAAATGCGTATTGATTCAAAGAAGAAGACTGTTATAGGAAGGAGCCATCTTATATTTAATATTTTCCAAGAGATTAACCTCTATAAAATTTTGTTTTTGTGTTTGAGCTATCTGAGATAATTTCCAAGAAATTAAACTTTCCTTTTGGGTCAAAACTTGAAATTTCCTCTGTGTTTGTTCGTCGCAGAAATGGATGTTTGGAATCGTGATATGGAATATTCATAAAATTCGAAGATTTAGAATTTGGGTTGGGGCCAGCCCACCATAATTGTGAACGCTCTCAAGACTCACAAAAGCACCAATTGATTTTTTTCATCCGCTTAACATAATAAAATCATGCATCACCTTACTCAATTTGGCAACCATGAAAAATTAAAATCGATATTAAATTATTTGGTCTAAAAAGGATTGTTCTTAGAACACCATTTTTCAGTGTTTTTAATTTTAAGCTAAATTAAGGTTAAAAGAAGGCCGAGAGACCCTACCCCGATCATTTTCTCGTTTGACTGTGGTTCAGCTTTTGGGCGGCTGCATCCCTGAAAGAAACACCAAAAAACCGCCTGGGGGAGAATTTTATTTTTGTTTGGGTTCGCCAATCGCCATGTAAAAAAAAAACACAACACAACAAAACAATAAATTCCCGCCAGTTTTGGTCGCATGCGTTGCGTTACGCTTCTCTGATCACGTGGCTGCCTAACTCGTCTCTGATTGGCCAAATGTCGAACCGCATTGACTTCGACGGAAGAAATCAATGCGGGGCCATCCTTGTTAACGAGCGAGCTGATCATGATCGAGCTGGGCATCGTCAGTAGACTAGGTAAGCTGAATTTCTCTTATTTACAATCTCAATATTAACGTCTTAGCTATGAAAACAATCTATGTGCCATTGCGCTTTGTAATTACCTTAAAACTAGGAGTACAGTTAAGACTTTTTCGTTTCAAGGAACGAGAAATAGTTGACGAAGTTGCGGTTACTTGCTCAATGATTTGTTAAGCTCATGTCTTTCGCTTAACAAAACTTTGCGTAAAACCTATCCTTAAATGTGTTCTGTTTTCATGACTTTATAAGTTGTTTTCTTATTTTGCACTTGTCTGTACATCGATAAGCTGAGCCTTGGTGAACATGCATGCCGTGCTTTTTTCTGTCCCCAAATTTGTAAGGGTTTTTTTTCCCAAGCCATGGGACATTCCATTTGTTATCCGCACCCCACACTCCCTCCCCCATGGAAGGCATAATTTTAAAATAATATCCAGAAGAACCCTGTCGGAATCTAATATTTGAACCACAATAAAGGGTTTTGGAATTAGCATAGACCTTGTCACGGTTTTTGACGCCATCTTGACAAGTAGGCAAACGCGTGAGAAATTACAGTGTTTGTATGAGAATCTAATGTCGAATAATTTCCGTAAAACGGCTGCTTTGAAAAAACTATGAATTGTAAACTAAAGCTTCACTCTTAAGGATTCTACTGAAAACATTTGAGGACGTTGCATGGACTAGAAGACCTAGAACCTTTTTTTAAAATTTTTCTATACATTTGTCTGTAAAAATTTCCCGGGAAAAATTGCAGACAAATATATGGAAAATCTAAAGCAAGCTTCTGGAGAAATTTAAGTTCAGTAAGAGCCCCCAAAATTTTTTAGTAAAATCCTTTGCTGTGTAGCTTTAGTCTAAAATTCATATTTTTTTTAGAACAACCGTTTTACGGAAATTATTCAACATTGGATTCTCATACAAACAATTTAATTTCTCACGCGTTTGCCTACTCGTCATTATGGCGTTGAAAACCGTGACAAGATCTATTTTACCCACAAGGGCCTCTCGGAATCTCGGATTACAGGGTTTTTGTTAAGATTTGAAGTAGCTGGGACAAATGTATCAATAGTAGGGACTAAAGATGGTGGAAGAGCCGCCATCTTTGCATGCAGTGCCAAGTCGGGGGAGGGGGGCACTTGCAGAAAATTTTAGAATTTTTAAGGCCCCAGGGTGCATTTTGGGCTATTTCTGGCCAATTTGGCTTTCTACTTCAGTTCCTTTAAATAAAGCATTTGGTGCTTAAAAACAGATACAATTCTTGTTATTCGGTTTCTGTTTTAACAACAGGGAATAAAATTATAAATATCTATAAGCACTGCCTGATAAAATAGCCGGGACGAGAATTGAAATAGCCGAGTAAAGGTCCTGGCGTCCCAGGTCTAACAAAAACCCTGGATTACTACAAGGCCTTAGGAAAGTGGGAGATTTGGGAACTGTAGGAATCACAATCTAAGAGATGAGGGCCAGTCAGAATCATGCCTTTCATAGAGAGGGTGCAGGTGGAATGTCCCTATATGGCTCTGACACTTAATAGCAAAGTTTTCTATTCTATTCTATTCTAATTTGTACTTGCATGTAAAATGACCTGCTCGCCTGAATTGGGGGAAGGCAGACTTTCTAGTACAGTCAAAGCTCTTGTGGAGACCCTCGGAAAATTTGAAAAAGTGGTCGTAAGCTAGAGCTGGTCGTTTACAAGAATGAGCTCTCCCCAAAAATCGGCTAACAAGAACTGAAATTATTATCCAATCCGATTTTAGTCAGCATTGTTATTGGCAACAATCTTAGAAAAAAATCTTGAAACACTTTTTTGAGGAGGATTGTAAGTGAACCAAAATATACTTGTAATACGTGTCCAGAAATACGAGTCAATTGCTGATGAGTCAAAAGCTGATTAGGATACGTGTCTCATTAGTATGTGAGCTACCTCTTTGTTTAGAGGTGTAATATGTCGGTGAATGGTCAACAAGCTTGAAACTGGCGGATCAAAAAAATTAACGTGCAAAATGCCAAGTGCAACTTTCACCTGCTATTGAAACTCAAATGTTTAAATACCTGATGCACATCCATTTCAATCACGAATTGAGGAAACAGTCATATTTCACAGAATCAAAACCAAGCTAATGTAACAATAATGTGGAAGAAAACATCATTTACAGAGTTGAACTTTACACGCTAATAAGCAACTCCACAAAATGAAAATGGAGATCAAAAGTCAAACCTCATCTGACAGCACTTGCTTTTGTA